AATATCTCAAGGGTTAGTTCAAAGTTGGTTTTGTGCCATTTGAATTTAAATTGATTTTTTTGTGAAATTTCAAAGTAGAGACTATCCTGCTGAAATTGTGTTGATTCTGCTGCATAACATGTTTTGAAGTAAGTGTTTGAAAACTTCATAAACTTGGATTTTCATGAAATTTTAGTATATTTTACTTTCTCGTATTTTCTTCAGATATGGAAATTTTTATCCAGTTTGGTTGTAAATTGTAATTTTGGTGATTTTTCAAAATAAAGTGTACAAACCTGAAAAAAAGAACGTTATGCAGCCTAGTCTATTTTGGTTTCTATTTTGACATGCTTCCTTAACTCTAATTTTTATCAAATTTTGAAATCTTTAATGTTTCCATGTCTAGTTGTGATCTGGAAAGTTTTACATTATTTTGATTTGAACTCAATATTTGGTGAATTTTCAAAGTTAATGTGTTCCAACCCAAATATTTAGCAAAACTGAAATTTTAGTTTTAAATTGATGTTTTAAATTTTCTTTATGAGTCTAAAGCCGAACCACCTGATTTTAAACATCCCAAAGAGTAGAACTATTATAGGAGGGGAATAGATTAGTTTTTCCTTAACGCTTGGTTCTACGCTTGCTTGGATGTGAGGTTAAGAGAGTAACAATCGGGTCAAACAACTTGTCAAGTGTATTTTGGGGTTTTAGGTCTATGTGCGGTAGTAGGATACTCAAATTTGTTTCCTTATTTCCAATGGATTTTAATCAGTAAATTATCTTAACTAGGTGTTCTACTCTGCGTTCTTTCGAGGACGAAACCACACAAGATTATAGGTGTTCTACTCTGCGTACTTTCGAGGACAAAACCGCACAAGATTAAGCTAGCTGGACTTGAGGTAGGGTTTCTTGATTTCCCGATGATTGGGCTATGTCACTTTTAATCTTGGTGGTTATATGTAGTACTATAAATGTGAATATTATTGTTGCTTTGCTCGATGATTATTATTTGATGTTATGTGAATATTATTATTGATGTTTTCCCATGAATATTATTTGATGTTGTGTGAATATTATTATTGATGTTTTTCCGTGGATATTATTTGATATTGGGTGAATATTATTATTCATGTGATTAAGCCTGTTATATTATTGTTATTATCTGTGGCATTATTCAGCAGAAATAAATGATGTTTGTGCTGCACTACATATGCATCAGAAATACAGTGGTGTTTGGAGTGTGTGTGTGTGTCATTTGAGATATATCTAAGGGGTGGGAGAAGGCTTTAGATATATCTGAATAAAATATGGAATATATTCAGGTGACGGGAGCAGAGCTTGAATATATTGAGGTGATGGGAGCATGGCCTGTAATGATAAGTGAAAGTTGAGAAATTCGTAAGCAAAAGAAAATTGGGTTAAGGGACGGATGGGCGCTAGTTCATATTTTAGGGTATTCGGAGCCACAGTGGTAAAACGCATGGTATGGGACATACAGGCTTGTTGCCCTAGGATATGAATTAGTGGGATTAGAAGGGAGTGAGTTCATGGCATCACCGCATTGCAAATTTATTTATCTGGTATGATTGCATAATTTATATATCTTGTGTTGTTTTATGCATGACACTTTGATTAACTGTGATAGCTGACTTTGAGGGGTTTGAAGGTACTCTACTGGGCATTAGAATGCTCATACCCTAATAGATTGTGCAGGATTTAAGAAGAAGTTTGAGGAAGCGGGTTCAACTGAGCTGCTGGGCTTTTATTGTTGATTTATGTAATTAATATTTGTAAGACCGTTTGTTAAAGATCTTAGTGTGTAGTTAACTACAAGCTACTGCGACTCTGATTTTGTGATGTTAAGTAAATTTGTATTTTTTTGTGGCTCTATTTCTCATCATATCATGGTTGTAGGATTTTATTCTTATGACTATGGTATGACTCATGCCATGATTCGGGAATATTCTTTATTTTTGAATCGGGTCGTGACAGGTGCAAAGTTGCCATGGACAGCTGGAGTGTCTTAACTCCATAATAAGAAGATTAGTGGGTGGGTTGGCTCGGAACTGTTTTTTTTGGTTTGTTGTCGTAATTATTCCCTGTTTTGTTTGGATGTTGTTGTTTCCTTTCTTTTGTAATATATGGGCGTCCTCTTTGTTTTGAGTAGAAAATTGAAGCTCCCAGAGCATTACTTGGCCTGCTAGCGGCCTTCGCCTTATTAATATGAAACTTATTGCTCAAGAATTTGTTCCCATTGCCAACGGGATTCAGTCTAGTAAAAACCCACCTTTTTTAGTATTGCTTGTACTAAAAAAACCCATAAAATTAATTTGTATTTTCAAAATTTGAGGATGCGTCTGATAGCTTAATCAGAAATAGTTTTAGAAAACAAAAACAGTGAAACCATTTTTGTTAGTTTTAATAAACAAATCGTTCCAAAAATAATTGCCCAAATCAAGCACATTAATATAGTTATAATGTAAATGGATTTTTATAGCCGGAGAGCTTGAGAAATGCATGCCAACAATTAATAATAAAATCCACATATTCTCAGTCCGCACATATGATGGATCTTTTTATATTTTTTTTTTTTTTTTTTTGGGTCAAACTCAAATCTCATCACATATTTCATGGGGAGAATAAGGCGAAAAAAAGAGAGGTTCAACTTCTTTTTTCTTTTTTTTTCTTTTTTTGGTCAAAAAAAGACAAGTTGAACTTCTTCAAAGAGTTTACAATAAGTTATTTATGTTTAGGTTGAATCTATATAACTGAAATTATTAATTAAATGAGGATAGTATGATAAAT